AAAGATCTGAATGGAGTTAGCAACAGAACTTGCATTTTCATTCTAATGCAGTTTTTCTAAAGCAGCCTTATTTGCTTAATGTTTGTCCTTCTCACCTTTTCTCTTCCACCATAAATAGTGGTCTGTATTTTGATTATTCAATTTACTGGTTGGGATTTAGAAGCTGACTAAAGAAGCATCTTGATTTCAATAGTGATAGAGATGCAGCCGTGTTAGTCTGGTCTAGCTGAAACAAAAGACAGGACTATTCAGCACTTTACTAACAAGATGGTTTATTAGGTGATGAGCTTTTGTGGGCCAGACCCACTTCCTCAGATCAATTTGTGGAAGAAAACTGGCGCGACTATATATACCAAAGTGATACAATAAAAAAAAAGTGAACACACATAACATTGACAAATCAGATTTTAGAATGGCGGTGTGTGAGAGGGGGATAGGTTAGTGTCTGTGAGGTAATGACATTAGGGGTGATAATTGGGGAAGCTATCTTTGTAATGTAATTTCAAGAGTGTTTTGGTTTTGGACCTTAGAGAGCATAAGTTTTTATAATTGCTCAGGTGAAGTAATAAATCAGCCACTGTCTAATCAGCAGCCAAGATGCACTGTACAAATAAATACCTTCTATAATGAGGCTTCAGTTGATTTACATTTAAAGTCTGGCACACTGCATAAATATTTGCACCCTAAGTTTAGCAGGCTTTAATTGCTGCTCTGATAACAGCATAGAGCCACTCGCTAACAAAATTCTCTAACCTGATGTTTGATTTGACATATAATAACTAACAGCAGTAATGTGTACGCTTAATCCATGTGTTGTAAAAGTTTTTGTATTGTCTTTTGACATACTTCAAGGTGCTATGTTATCTGTTTTATTAAATTACTACTACTATATTTTCTTTAGGCTATGTCTACACTGGCAACTGAACAAAATTTTTATCCTTTGGAGGTGTAAAAAAAAAATTCTCCTAGAAAGATAAAAGTTTTGCCAGGACAAGTGCCAATGTGAACAGCATGCTGGGGATGGAGGTATTTTGTTAGCTGAAGAGCTGACAAACAGTGGCTTCGCTGCATGACTTTTAGCAACATGGCTGTGACGACACAGCTGTATGGCTAAAAGCTATGTCCTGTAGACAATGCAGCATCATCACTGAAACTTGCTGTGCTCAGAGGGTGTGTGTGTTTTCACACCTGAGTGAGAAAATTACAACAGTGTAGGTGAGTGTTTGTTTTTCTTTCCACCAGCCCCAGCAATTAAAGAGGTGTCTTGTAATGAAATAGTCATGTAAACAACATGAAATCTTAGAGGTTACATGACTATTCAATAGTCCCCAGGGGTGGAGCCAGCAGCCAATGTGCTTCCAACCCCGCTCCTGGGGAGCTCCCTGCCACTCTGTGCTGCTGCCTCTTTATCAGAGGCAGCAGTGTGGGGTGGCAGGCAGAACCAGTCTGTGAAGGGAGCCAGTTTAAAAACCAGCTTCCTGCACAGAGCTCCCTGCAGACAGAGGCTGTTCTGCATCCCACAAAGCAACCCGTTAAGAGGCAGGCGCATTTGGCACGGGGGAGCTGGTGCTGGGTGTACCAGCTTTTAAGCTTGGGCCCCCCAGCATCGGTTCTTGCCTGCTTCCCTCTTTCCACCCCCGCCTCTGTAGGATGCAGCAGGGGAAAGGGGGGAGGCAGATGCACAGGGAGCTAGCTTGAAAGCCTGTTCCTCATACATATTGGCTCCAGCCTATCCCCCTCACCTCTACGCTGCTGCCTCTCTATTGGAGACAGCAGCACGGGGGGGAATCACTGGCTCCTGCTTCCCCCCACCTTGCTGCCTGTGATACAGAGGCAGTGGGAGGTGGAGGGGAGAGAAAACGTGTTGTCGACAAGATTAATTGATAAGCCTGGGCGTATTGGCTAATTGTGTAGTCTTCTATACAATGACATCTGTATTGTCAACTGGCCATTTCACCTTCAGTGGTTCCTTGCAATTATGCATTGATTGCCTATGCTGAACAATGAGTTCCGCCTTGTATTTACCAAGAACACTGAATACTTTTCCCAGGTAGAGCAGTTCTCTCTAAGCTCCAAAGTTTCTCTCTCTCTCCAACAGAAGTTGGTCCAATAGGATCTTTATTAACTTTGTCATTCTTTTATCACAGCTTGAAGAAATCTTTGAATTATCTATGAAGTCTATAATTTATATTAGGGATGTTAAGTATAGGTAACTGACTAATCGAATAGTTGATGCATTTTTCATTGACTATTCGATTGGGTGCCTCCGCCTTTGAAGTGCAGCAACAGCCGTAGGGCTTCAAAGGCGAAAGTGCCACTTGGAGCCTGGAGTCAGCCAGCTGATCCCGGGCTCCATGTGGTGTTTCAAAGTTGTAGTGCCACACGGAGCCCAGGATTAGCAGGGGAGTCCCCAGCTGATCCTGGGCTCCACTGGGTACTACTGTTTTGAAACACCACATGCAGCCTGGGGACACCCGAGCTGGCTCTGGGCTGCATGCAGCTTTTCAAAGCAGCAGAGCCGCATGAAGCCCAGGGTCTGGCCCCAGGCTTCAAACAGCACTGCTGCTTTGAAGTACCCCCTCTTCTCCCCTATCTGATACTGCTTCACTTACCTAGCTGATATAATTTCAAGTATTTTTAAAAGCTGTTCTAATGAGAAGGTTTAAATGAGTGGCAGCTGTGCAGTACCTGCAGGGTTACACTTTGAGTGGATGTTGATGGCATAGCAGCAACACTTAGACCACCACTCAAGATTGATCTTTATGCTAAAAATAACTGATGCATCATCTAAGCAGGGTGGTTTGACTCACTAGTCTAGCATTGGGAGGAGCCCTTTTATAATCCTACTGTCTGGGCCCGGAGGGCCTGGGCGACTACTGAATCAGCAGTGAAGTAGATCCGGTTTTCAGTACGCTCTCATTCATTTGGAAAAACTCTCGCAAATTTCATTCAGATATCTCACATATCTCTACATGATGTCAAGCTAACAACGAGGCTTATCTCTGGAGGGTGGAATAAGCAGTTCTTAAGGCCTGCACCCGGCGACCTTTTGCATGCACAACAATATTAGTCATTCTTCCTAAGATCCTCACAAGCTCTGCTGTCAGACAACATAAGCGCTGTGGTCTCTGACTGACCTGGAAGCCATACCCTTATGGATAGATCCAACCTGTTCTGTTTCACACCATGGCAGGGGTTCAGAGGATTCTAAGTAGCTTCCC